GATGCAGAGCAGTCCTCTATCGTAAAGTATTGAGGGCTGTTTTTGGTTTACATCAGTTTGGGCAGGTAACTTTTTCAACAGTGAAGGATGGGATGGCAGCATACAATTCATGCGGGCCCTGTTTTTGGAAAATATAAACTTATGCGTAGTTAGGGAGCTGTGTTCAGTGTGTGAATTAGCGGACTAATACCAAAAGCTCCTGGTCGGTATGATTTTTGCTAACCTCGTCCTACGTGAATTTGCCCAAAAATCTGTAAAATTATAACCAAACCTTGAAAAAGAAAAATGAATAATTGGAAACTGGCGCTGTTAAAGTTTAGTTTCTACCAGTTCCAGGAGGAAGACTGCTTATAATCGCACAATAACATCGTACTTCCCACGGCAGCGAAGAATCGTAGCACAAGCTTCGAAAGCACAAGAGCTCGAACTTGGCAAATTGTCGCAAATTTCGGAGCAACGTCCGGAGCCATCACCATTATTTTCTTTCAGTACTTTAGGAAAAAGACCGGCAGCTTTATCTTCCGAGGCAACTTCCCCGAATTCTGAAAAAAAAGTGGAAAGCGCAGAACAAGCTTTAGTGCATGAAAGACAATCTTTGCCATCAGCTCGACTGCAGCTGTCGGGGCAATTATCGATGGATATAAGAAATCGGTCACAGATGCAGGCACCGAAAAAACCTCTTCTGATGTTTTCTCCGAAGCAAATACCGGTGACGGTTACGCGGTCTTTCACGCCACTTTCCCAAGGCTCTTCTGTTTTAGCACAGCTGCGAATACAAGCCTCTAAAAATACTTCAACCGCAATGAATACTAGAATCAGTGATGTAAATGAAGCTTCAGCACTGACGCACGTTCAAATGCAGAAAGCTGGGAATACCACCTCCACCTTTACACGATCCCAGATGTGTATTCCGGAAAAAGGCTTGATCTCTGCGAGATTTGGGGTATATAAGTCCGAAACAGTTGTACCGAAAGGGAAAGGAACTCTTTCTATGGATTCTAAAAAACACGCTGGACACCAGGTTGTTTTACTTAGCGGCGAAAGTGAACAATCTGAGACGGCAGTGCTGTCACCAGCATCACAGCCTTCCACGCGCGCGACAGAAGCTTGTAAAAAGGAGCCTGTGAAAACGACTTCGCAAACGGCAATCATTCCTGTCTCAAGCATCAGAGAACCGAGGACACAAAATAACAGCACAAGGTTTTTTTTTTTTTTTTGTTTTTCCAAATAAGTAGAAAAGCTCTTGGCTAAAAACAGATAGTTATTTTCAGAAGGCTGTACCGAGTAAAGAAAGAGTGACTGGAAATTGAACTCTAAAT